CCCCAAAACCCCAAAACCCCAAAACCCCTAAATGATAAATTTTAGCTGAATTCGAGGTAATTTTGTTATTATATTAATAATTACTTTACAATGGGAAAAAGATTAGCAGAGTCTCAATTGTCAAGAGAGGACCTAGAAAACAGTAGCGATGAAGAAAATGTAATAAACAGAAATTTTAATTCCTTAGGGTAATGGCTCAGAGGACAACGGATTCGATAACCCTGACCAGATCGCTTAGAGAAAGTAAAAATTGAAATTAAGTTTGATTAATGAAATAGGATCGTAAAAGTTAAGAGATCAATCCAGTCTAATTAGGATGTTGGATCAAACCACGGAAAGCTTCAATTAAGTGGCTAGATCAATCCATCTGATACTAAGACAGAGTATTAAGATGATAAATCTGAAGACAAGAAGACTGAATAGAAAGAAAAACCAGCAAGTATGTTTGGAAATTTAGGATCAATAAATGCAACAGGTGGCGCACAAACATCAATGTTTGGAGGCTAAGCCTCAAATTCAGGCCAAAGCTTGTTCGGCTCAGGATTTAAGTTCACTACTACTACTAGCACCACTGGAGGCGCTAGTATTTTTAATGGAGGAAGTTTGTTCGGGTCAAGCTCAACTGGAGGCTCACTTTTTGGATCAGGAGCACCAAGTGGCTCATTATTTGGTAGTTCATCAACTACTGGAGGATCACTATTTAGCTCAACCACACCTCTCTTTGCCGGAAATAATGCTCTTTTTAAGGCTCCAGAGTCAAATAAGAATGGAGATGGAGAAGGAGATGAAGAAGATGACGATGATAACTTCGGTAAAGGTGATGGAAGTCCCCCAGCTTTTGGTGGAGATTAATCTGGAGGATTCGGCGAATTATCAAGACCAATGAAGCTCAATATTGAATCAAGACCACCAGAGAAGAGTCCATATGTGAAAAAATTCAGTAACTAAGTTGAGAAATTCAAGCTAGTTACCCCAGTTGTAGTAGGTGGCTAAAAGAAAGAGGAGAAAAAGTCTATGGGCAGAGGCAATATCTCAATTGAAGTAGCAGAGATAAACAATAAGTAGGTGTACATTTGTGTATTCAGAAACCTAATCGGCAAAAATCTCTACCAAGGAACTATTAGTTCAAAATTCTCAAAGAAGAGAAGAATTGAAGAAAAAGCTATGAAACTACAGCTTAAATTAGCTTTGGTTACCCTTGATCCAGCCACAAAGAAATCAAAAGTAGATTATTCAGTCATCTCATTCACGAGAAGTGATGACCTAAAGTAGTTTGAAAAAGAATTCGAGGATGCAATAAACACTATAAAATCCTAGGAGACTGATTCTGCTAAGAGTGAAGAATCTAAAAAGGAATGAGAACCATGAACCATTATTTATGAGACAACAAGCTAATTAATTCAATATAATGTTCGCTATTGCGATTGTCGCTTAAATGTTTTTGGGGTTTTGGGGTTTTGGGGTTTTGGGGTTTTGGGG